TTTTCTTTTAATTCGCTCAACATTACGAGCACTGCTCCGTTTGAGCCCTCGCTATCTGCGTTTAGCCGGTAGAGCTTGCACTGAGCAGAGCTTTCAGTAAGGGACCGTCAGAAAAGTGCTTATTTTATATTTGTTTTATTTTAAACACTACTAATTTTCACTTAAATGAGCACAAACAGTTACTAAAGTAGTCGAATGCTTCATTATGGATCTGCGCATTCTTACATGAACACCTCTGTTATCAAACAAAACACACTGACTATAGTAACTGTAATCAAATGCAAATACAATCAAAAGTGAAATAGACTTTATAGCTTGATTTAAATTCTGGATAGGCCATTGATTTTAATAGGTTAAACCTTTTATTCTATTGTCAATATTTTCTAATGTTTGCTATGTATTCTATCATTTGTTGTCCCATATTTTTTACATCCCAACATTGATTGCAAATCAATAAATAGCTATAGTGCTATCTGTTAGTTTTAACGTCAGCTAATGTTATGGAAGGGCATAGATGTTATGGAAAATAGAAATAGTAATGTAACAACCCCCATCATTCCTTCCTCAAGCAAATGTGTAAATATTAGATCTATTCAGCAATAATGTTAATTGCATTGGCATATTAATCTGACGTTTTCCCACCCTGTAGTAGTCGATCAAAAAGCTATTTAGTTTCTTATGATCAGGGCCAGACGGAATCTGCGGACGTTTTTTGCTATTTCTGCAGAGGATTTTGGTAAAAATCTGCGGAATTATTTTGGGAGTATCCAGCAGAGTATCATAACTAAAACCTTAATATATTAAATAAAAAGTAATAAACTATTGAATAAAAACTGAATGAATTCAGATTTACACATTTACTCAAGTAAATAAACAGAATTTATAATGGGCTAAAAATCTGCGGAATTCTGCGCGCGCAGATTCCGTGTGGGCCTACTTATGACTATACACTAGCAGTGGAATTTACTGCGATGTGACGGGGCTTGATCAGAATCAAAGGGCTTGATCAAAGGATGATCATATTCTCTTCTAAAAGAAGAAGAGGATCTTTTTCAACAAAAAATGATCAGTTACAGCCAGCATCCCACAAAGAGCACTTCAAGCCTCATTTTATGCATATCAAATCACAAAATCCAAAAAGCCGCACACCATATATTTTTGACTGCTTTGAACAGATACATTTTTTACCCATTTTTCCATATTAAAATATTATGGTGGGTCTTAATTGTCAGGGTTGGTGATGGGAAATGGGGAAAAAGGAGCGAGGACTCAAGTGCAGGAATAATGGGAATTTATTAAATAATAAAAATAAAATAAAATGCAAAATAAACTACCCCGAGGGGTAAAACATTAACAAAACAAATACATACACAAACAAACTTCACTGGGCTGGCTGGTGAGGAACAGGACTGGAAACATGACAAGACAAGGGTTCAAACAACAACATGTGATGACGAACTGGCACAGGACAGCAAAAGTGAGGGGTATATAAACTGTAGAAAATTAACACACAAACAGGTGAACACAATTAACTAATAATGGATTAACAAGGAGGGTGGGACAAGACAATAGAGCGCATGACACAGAGACAACACAAGCCATGCGCTCACTTAACAGGACAAGAACATGCAGCCAATGAGAGAACTCATTAACCGCATGTTCATGACAACAAACACAACACTGAAGCACACGACAAAAGCACGTGACCACAATGTAAACACCGAGCCACATGCTTTGACAAAACACGCAAGACATGAGCACACGATGAATGAAAACACTCACCGTGCGCTCACACATAAGCAACGTGCATGCTTCATCTCAGCGCCAACCAAAACTGAAACCAACTAGACGGAGGCGCCGAGAATAAAGCAGCACGCTGCTGACAGAACAAACACAAAGACTAGTACAAAAGCGCGCGCGTCTGAGGGACGCAGAGCGTGCGCGGCCACATCAAGTGGCAGCACGCACACTCTGCGTACACCCACGACAGCGCGCGCGCGCACACAGAGACAGAAACAGGACCAGACATGGAGTAGTGTCAGAGTCTGCCACCAAAACAAAAATTTACAAGACCAAAGTGGCAGAACCCTGACACTTAATAGTGAATTATTTGGCTAGGTGGGTCCCGGAATTAAAAAAGTTTGGGAATCCCTGCCTTAGATCAATGGTTCTCAAAGTGGGGGTCGCGGGACAATAAAGGGGGGTCGCCTGGTGGTTTCCAAAAATCTATTTATTTTTATTAAACCATAAGAATTACCATATTTTATCCATAACCTTCTGAAGAGAAAAAAAATAGTCGTTCATACCATATATAGTTACTATAGTAGCTTATAGTTACTACTTCTATTGGATTGCAACCCCTGGGGTAATTGCACTGTATTAAAGACACAGCAATAGCGTCAGATGCAGCAGATTTCATAACACCTGGTTAAACTTTGTGGCCCATTATCAGCTCTCATACATAAAAAAAAAAATTAAAAGAAGAATAGACTTGGGTTTATTGGTGTGTGTGCGCCATTGCATGCAAGGTTTCTGTATTTATAACCACCTCAGAGGATATTGGGGGTCACGAGTCACTGGCATTGTCATTTTGGGGGTCGCGGCCTGAAAAGTTTGGGAATCCCTGCCTTAGATCACTACAGGTAAAAGTAAATGATATGATTTTTATATGAACTACGCCTTTAAATACACCAACATGAATGACATTTGACTGTAAACATCACTAAGAGAGTACATATCTGTCTTTTCCTCCATTAATAATAAACTGGTACAAACTTTCAATTCCCAAATCAGCAAACTAAAACTGAGAAACCCCTGCATGAAATCCCAGGACAAAAGACTTTATTATCAGCACCCAGCCCATTGACATGGAAGAAATGATCTCTATTAAAACACAAACTGATGTAAAGCCTGGGAGGTTTGTCAACTGCCATTTTTGTTTTTACTATGGGAAAGAGCATTTTATTAGCGCTTTAATATATTTTACTGCCAGACAAAAAGAGCGAGGCCTGACTGTAGTGGTTTTTGCATATGCGCTTTATGAACTTCTTTTGTTATGGACGGCTGAGCTGATATTGCCACTAAACTCGCCTCGATCTCGGTGCGTTGTGGGAAAGCGCTGGCGTTTGGTGCGCTTGAAAGGCCGCCATTGTTACCTGGATCTCCTCATTCAAATCAGATGGCAAATTTGACCGCATTTTCATACTGTACGAATGTGATTTGGGTTTGTGGATTTGGCTGCTCGGCTCCCATCGGTAACGCTGAGTGGAATCGACTGCTGCTGTTATTAAAATGATGCCTTTTTTTCTACTCGCTGCGTTCGAGTAATTTATATCCCTCCTCCGGTTAATAGCAATCAGATGGCGGCTCTACTGAGGGAATACTGCGAATTATAGCGTGCATTTATGTATCTGAAGAACCACCGACTTAAAATATGGATAATGATCAACAGACTGCACTCCTGAGAGGCCTTTCTGCTCTCATGAGGGAAATCCTACTGTTATTTTAACAGCACTCAGACACTACTGTTTTATTATTTATTAATTTTTATTATGAACAGTTTGAGCTGGTTTTAATGTATATACAGTGCCTATAGAAAATCCTCATACCCTATGAAAACCTATACACTTTCTCATATTACATCCTGGAAAATAACATAAATGAAGTCAAATGTTTTTTAAGCTACACTTAAACATTATAATCCTCATCATTAACGTAAAAATATCATTGAAATAAATGCAAGGATTCATCAAAATTAATCAGCGAAATGCCTGGTTTGGTAAAGTGAGCAGCTTCTTAAAGTAAAACATTATAAACTTGCTGAGGTGCAAGCAATCACCTGCAAAGGAACTATTTCAAAGGGGTATGATGATTTTATATAGGCAATGTATTTTAATATTATTATTATTATTTGCACTGGTTTTGATTTATATACATTTCATTAATATTATTTTTTAGCAGTGGTTTTGATTTATATATTATTATTATTAATATATTAGTACTGCTTTAATTTATATATTTGTATTATTATTATTTTTATTATTATTTAAGTACTTGTTTTGACTTATATATTTATATTATTATTATTATTATATTAGTACGGTTTAATTTATAATTTATATTTATAATTATTATTATTTTAGTACTTTTTTGATTTATATATTTTTTTATTATTATTATTGTATTAGTACTGTTTTAATTGATATATCTATTATTATTATTATTATTATTATTTTGTACTGGTTTTGATTTATATATATTTTAATTTTTTTGTACGTTTATTTTATTTATGAATTATTATTATTATTATTTTAGTTCTGATTTTCATTTTTATATTTTATTATTATTTTAGTAATAGTTTTTAGTAATATTATTATTTTTAGTAGTTGGTTTGATTTATATAATTATTTATATTATTAATATTTTAGTACTGTTTTAATTAATATATTGATTTATATATATATATATATATATATATATATATATATATATATAACTATAATATTAATAATAATTAAAATGTAAAAATATATTTGACACATTTCTACCTTGTTTTTACTTATTTTAAGTTATGCCAATTTCTTTCCATAGCATTAAAAACAGAGATATAGAAATTGTTTCAATTGAGATATTTTTATGATTGAATTTTTTATTTTTTTTATATATGAATAAATAAATATAAAATATAAAAATATTCCTTGCAAAAAAATACGAAAACTCTGAGGGGGCAAACACTTTTTCACAGCACTGTACATCTGTACATATACTTCCAATACATTTAGAGCATAAACATTTAGCACAGAGAAAGCTGGAAGAATAATGGGAAAACAGGTGGAAACATTAAAAAAAGGACAAAAGCTAAACTCCATAATGCGTGACTTGTTCTGCAACATCTCAGAGCACACCAAAACAAACAACAACAAAAACACCATGCCAAGAAGATGATCATGAATGATCACATTTCACATCATCATCAGGGAGAATAAATAACAGAGACTCACCAGACACCAGCCACTGACCGCTGGGAGAAACACTGATGCTCCGGACCAGACTGGAGTGACCACGATACACCTGATACACACAACACACAAACATAATGAGTAATAGTAGAGCTAACTAATAGTTAATAAAAAAAAGTTGACATTGCAAACTATTTTTTTTAAAATATTATGGTAAATATGCATTTAATATTTCATCAAATATGCATTTGATATTTAATTAAATACGTATTTAATATTTAATTAAATGCACATTAAGCATGTAATGAATAAATGCATATTTATTTAATTATTAAAATATTTTATATTTAATTCATATTTAAATAAATATGCATTTTTATGCACTCAATTTATGCATTTAAATATGCATTCTGATTTGAAACAAGACTTAACATTGGATGGAAATACGTTTAAAAATTTTTTTTTTTTACTGTTTTGGCAAAGATTTTTACTATTTTGTCAATAAAAAATTGATTATTAACAGGCAAATTATATACATGCATATATACATGAACATAGCGCTCCGCATAAACGAGTACAGCCCATTTTGAAATTAATATTTTTAACCATTTCTCAGTGAACAGACTATATATTTATAAATATATAACAGATTTATTAAACAGATATATTAATTAAAATTATTTTCTAGTCACCGAACATTGTTAGAAATAGAAAGAGAATATATTTAAGTTCATGCAAATTATTAATTGTTAATCGTAATTAATTATTAATCGTTTTTTATAGTTTTTTTTGTAGTGGTTTTTAATTAATATTTAATTAATATTATTTTAATATTGGTATTGATTTATATATTTTATTATTACTTTTGTACTGTTTTTATTTATATGTTAATATGAATATTATTATTAAAGTACTGTTTTGATTTATATATTTTTATTATATATATATATATATATATATATATGTATAAATAAATAAATCAACAAAATTTTATATAATTGTATTTTTGTTTCTCTTGATTGTTTTTTTTTATTTCATATTTTTCCCTAAAATATAAATTTAAGCTACTAATGTTAAGATGACTAATTTAGAGCACAAATTTAATATTGTGAAGCTTCCTACAGAAAATATTTATTTAAATTAGAGATTTGGGAGGCTCTCAGTGCAAAACAAAACAAAAATAAATCATGAGCATTTCCATTAAACTTTCCAAAGAAAACAAACTCAAAAGCCCCAAATCTCAAAACTGACAGGTGTCTAAAATACCGCAGTGTTTTTGTCTGTAGTTTCTCAGTTTAATCACCAAGCGCACGGATTTAGTTCTCCTCTTAATCCAGTCCAAAAGAACGACAGACAAACCCGCTTTATAGCTGTCTCAAAACTCTACGCTTTCAACAACACAAATATTCATCTTCTGATCTCTTTCACCCACGCGGGACAGCAAGTCATTAGGTTTCCCGAGCTCGCCATTATATAGAGTCTAGTCCAGAAATAACAGCAGCATCAAATCTACACGTCTTCATAATCGCAGTCAGACTGCAGGAACGTGACGTACCAGAGACTGTGTGGTGGGGAACGGCTGCAGGTCTTTGGGCTTGGGAAGTTTGGGAATCAGGTCTTCTGGGTTCACGTTCACCTGGAGGAAAATAAATAAATAAAAGGACAGAACGTGTCTTAAACACACATCTGAAGGCAAAAAGAAGTGAAGCAAGCTCATAAAGGTTTGAAACATGTAAAGGGTGGTAAATGAAGACAATTAAAGTTCTGTCTGATATATACATGTATATGTCATAAGGCCATTTGTTTCATTTTGAATCTTTAGGTTTGGTCTCACAGATGCTACGTGTGTGTGTTTGTGTGTGTAACAGTGTGTTTGTTTGAGACGGCTCACCCTCATCTTCCTCTGTCTGGGACACAGGTAGAGGTCGAGGCAGCGCTCGAAGCGCTCGTGAATGAAGCGTGAGAATGCAGGAACGGCTCGCAGACACGAGAACTTCTGCGGGAGGAAACTCAGCTTTCTGTCCTCGGGGTCCTGTGCAGCCCATGCCAGTCTCTGAAGAACACACACACACACACACACACACACACACACAATAAATAAATCAAATACAATTTAATAAATTAATATAAAATACAACACACACACACACACACACACACACACACACACAATAAATAAATCAAATACAATTTAATAAATTAATATAAAATACAACACACACACAACACACACAACACACACAATAAATAAATCAAATACAATTTAATAAATTAATATAAAATACAACACACACACACACACACACACAACACACACACACACACACACACACACACAATAAATAAATCAAATACAATTTAATAAATTAATATAAAATACAACACACACACACACACACACACACACACACACACACACAATAAATAAATCAAATACAATTTTATAAACTAATAAAATTATAAAATTTACAACACACACACACACCCCAAATACAACATACATGCACAACAAATAAAATACAACACGCCCACACACAAGTACAACACACATACAAGATGCATACAACAAATAACACGCATACAGGCATAGAACAAATACAACATGCGTACACACACACACACACACACAACACACAACAAATAAACATACAACAAATGCAACACACAGGCAACAAATCCAATATGCAACCCCACATATAACAAGTACAACACACAGACACACACATACAGTAGAACACACACACCCCAAAGAGCAAACGTTATGACAACTCAGGATAAAGGCTGACTAGAGAACAGGTGCAGGCAAAATTGGGGTCAAAATTTGGTTGCATATAAAGATGAAGCTGCGGAGGGGAAGCACGTGCTCAGAGTTCACTACAGCATGGAAAACACACGCAAATCCCGAGCAGGCAAATCATACAGGCCTAATGGAGCTGAAGCAGGTGTGAAGTCATCATCCAGTCACAGTTTGCAGGAAGAGTTCGCTCCAAAACAAGAAGTCTATCTACTCTAACTTAAGTGTGTGTAATAAAGACTAAGACTATGCAGAGTATACACAAACCTTATCACACACTTTTACTGGAGCCATTCCCTCACTGGTCATCTCTGATAAATGTGTGTTTTTCTGCACTGAATCATTTACATTTGACGGTTATATTTTTATATGCAAACACTACATTTGTGCATGATCAGTTTGCATAAAGACTCGTCCTGAAAGCGATCATAAAGTGAGGGTATGCACATCATAAATACAACGTGCAACTTAGAAAAGCTATTTTAACTGTATATGATTTCTCATTTATTTAGAATAGTAAATATCTAGAAGTGTATATTTTGTGTAGCACTAGTTTCTCTCACATCTCATGGAAGCATTCTGTTGAGTTTTGATCTGATTTTTGACTGTTGTAGCTGTGAAATAACTCAAATCATTCAGCGTAGTGATATGGAGCTGAAGTGCGCTCAAGACCTACCGGAACTACTGGACAGCACAGTGGCTCAGTGGTTAGAACTGTGGCCTCACAGCAAGAAGGTCGCTGATTTCACTCCCAGCTGGACAACTTGGCATTTATGTGCCAGATTAAAGAAATATAAAATCAAAACAAACAAAAACAAAAAGTAAACAAACAAAAACAAACTATTGAAGAACAAAACCAAACAAAAATAAGACAACAAAACACAACAAATCAAAGCAAACAAAAACAAATATAAAGTAAAACAAAAAAACAAGAATGAAAACAAAAACTAATGAAAAATTAAACCAAACATAAATTACAAAAAAACACAAACAAAAAAAATTTTAAAAAACAAATGAAAACAAAAAAAATTTAAAGAAAAAATATATAAAAATCAACAAACAAAAATGAAAAAACAACAAAAAACTAAAAGACAAAAACTAATGAAAAATAAAACTAGACAAAATTACAACAAACACAAATAACAAACAAAAAAAACTAAGAAAAACAAAACTTAAACAAAAAACAAACAAATATAAAATCAAAATAAAGAAACAAAAAAAACTAATGAAAAACACAAACAACAAACAAAAAAGAAAAAGAAAAAGAAAAACAAAACTAAACAAACAAGAATGAAACCAAAAACAAACCAAACAACTAATGAAAAATGAAACCAAACCAAAATATTACAACACAAACAAAAAAATGAACAAAAAAAACATATATAAAATCAAAGCAAACAAATAATAAAAACAAACAAAAAATAATGAAAAATAAAACCAAACAAAAATATTACAACAAAACAAAATAATGAAAAACAAAAATGAAAGAAAAACTAACCAAAAAAATATAAAATCAAAACAAGCAAAAATGAAAACAGCAAAAACAAAACAAAAAACGAATGAAAAACAAAACCAAACAAAAATTATAGAAGACAAACAAAACAAAAAGCAATAATGAAAAGCAAAAACAAAAACAAATATGAAATCAACAAACAAAAATAACACAACAAAACAAAACAAACAAAAACAGAAATAAAAAACTAACAAAAAAAAATCAAAATCAAAACAAACAAGAATAAAAGCAACAAAAAACAAAACAAAAAACTAATGAAAAATAAAACCAAACAAAATTAAAATACAAAACAAAAAGCAAAAATGAAAACACCAAAAAAGCTACTACTGTAGCTGGGCAGCATGGTGGCTCAGTGGTAAGCACTGTGGCCTCAAAGCAAGACAGTCGCTGGGTCTGTGTGTGTATGAATGTGTATGGGTGTTTCCTAGTACTGGGTTGCGGCTGGTCAAATCAGATTGCGTGAATGATGTTTATTCTGAACTTCTCCCCAACAACGTACCTCTTCCTCGGACAGCAGGTATTCTGGAGGAGGGTTGTAGGACTCCTCATGTCCCGGAAGCTTCATCTTGGGTGCTGGGACGTGCATCTTGTGGCGTCCCAGAATGCTGTTGGGGTCTTCTTTGGCCCAGAGGTCGTAATACTGCGGCGTGGTTTCCTTGGGTCTGCGAGGCTTAATCCAGCCCATTTTAATGGCATGAACCAACTTCCCGACCTAAAGCAGAAAGACGGATTCAGTGGCGGGACAGAAACACATCATTGAGGAGATTGAGAGCACATGTTGGCCGTCATTACCGCAAACACTCGCTCTACACGTCCACGCTTCACACACGACACACAACCATATCTAAAAAAGGCCATTAGGTTTGAGCACAAACGTTTGCAGGTCTGATTTCTTTCAGCGTTCAATTTCAGATGCCCCATTACGCCTGTGCTTCAGACCGTTTTCCACTTTAAAAACGATGTGGGATTCATTATTTGTGAGGCGGCACAGCTGGGAGCAGTTAGGAGACCAAACAGGACTATTTTTAATGCCGTTTCCTACAGTAAATAGACGTGAAGAGAGCGGACTTGCCTTCTCTTTCTCGATTAGCGAGGGAATGAAGCTGCGTTTGTCCTGAGGCCTGTTGGTGACGGGGTGGATCATCACTTCATTGGAGAAGAAATCAACTGCAGGCTGGAAAAAAAAAGAGAATCAGAAAGAGGAAAATATTAAGGCAAAGTAAAAGACACATCAGTTTAAGCCTACAGGTGCTTTCTGTCTTGTTGTTCTTCACTAATAGTTCATATAGTAGTTTTAATAACCAATAAAACAAACAAAAATGAAAAAAAGAAAGAAAAACAAAAACAAACAAACAGAAAAAATGACAGAATATTAAAACAGAAACAAACAAAATTAAAAATATAACCAAACAAAAACAAAACTAAAACAAAAATGCACACAAAAAACAAAAACTAACAAATAATACACAAATAAATCAAACCAAACAAACATGAAATAACAAACAAAAGACTAAAACAAAAAAAAAACCTAAACAAAAAAGAAAAATAAAACCAAACAAAAAAACTGGAAAAAAATTCAAATAAAATTTAAAAACTGAAAACAAAAACACAAAACGAACAAAAACAAAACAAACAAAAAATGAAAAACAAACAAAAATAAAAATGAAAAATTACCAAACAAAAAAACTGAACAAAAAAACTAAACGAAACAAAAACAAAATAAATATAGACAAAAATGAAAAATACCCAAGAAAAAAAACTGAACAAACAAAAAACAAACACAAACAAAACTGAAAATGAAAAACAAACAAAAATTAAAAAACAAAAATTACAAATGAAACTAAACAATACAAATTCAAACAAAAACAAAAATGAAAAACAAACAAAACAAAAAAAAGAAAAATAAAACCAAATAAAAAACTAAAACAAAAATACATCACAAACAAAAACATAATAAACAAAAAACAAAACAAACAAAAAAGGGGAAAGAAAATAAAAAACAAACAAAACAAAAACGAAAAAAAGAAAAATTGAACCAAACCAAAACAAAAAAATTAAACAAAAAAATACAAAAACCTAAAACAAACAAAAAACAAAACAAATCAACAAACAAAAACTTAATTAGGCAAGTTATTGGATAAAAATAGTTTGTTCTGTAGACATTAAAATAAATTCTTAAGTAGGCCAATAGCAGAAAAGTTGTTTATAAAAAAAAAGGTTTAAAACTGCTTTCATTTGAGCCAAACTAAAAAAAAAACTTTTCTAAGAAGAAAAAATATTACAGGCAATACTCTGAAATTGTCTTTGCTGTTAAACATTATTTGGGAAATATGTGAAAAACAACAATTTTCACAGGAGGACGAATCATTTCGACTTTGACTATATATAAAAACCCATCAACTTCTCAATGTCTGCAACTAAACCATGATACTCCAGAAATTCAGTGGGAACCCTGATAAACAGAACACAAACAGAACATGACATCAGCTAAAACTAGACGGCTAAAGAGCATCTGAAGTGACCACACAGAAGAAAAAAAAAAAACGCTCTGTTTGTGTTGACTTTTAATTTGCCAACATGTAAATGAAAACATCTGTGCTATATCTCAGGCTCAGCGGGACGACAGGTGGCTTTTTCACACTCGCGCTCTTTAAAAAGCCTGTTTGAGGTCGACTAACTGATCGCAGACCGACCAAACACGACTGACTCACTTCTTGTTTAGCGCAATTAGCGGCAGCGTGACACCATGCAGACTCATTGCCTCCTGCGTAGGTCAGACGGCTAATTGCGCTAGCGTTAATGTTTCGTTACTTCATTTGTCGGCGGTGAACAGTAAATACTCCGCCATCGTGCGCTGGTGTTATTATCTAGAAGCTCGCTCTGTTTAAGAGCTTGTCACAGACTGCAGATGTTGAGGTGACACTTTGCGGATGGAGAAAAACAAAAGCGACAGAGCAGAACGGCAAACCTCGTATTCGTTGAAGTTGACGTCACCGAATTTGCCCTGCTGCAGACGGTGGACCAGATCCACCTGCTCGTCCGACAGACGGATATCAGCGCCGGTCATCTTGTCCTGGACAGTTCGCCTGGTCAGGAAAAACAGGTGTTAAAGCTGACACTGAAATAGGTCACAATTAGGGAAATACCATCTTTTTTGTATTACAAGTTTTCCAATATGCAAATTGAGTATTGTTCAATTACATCTGTACTAATTTGCATATTTCTTTCTTGTTTTTCTTTTACATTGTGTTGCCAAAGGTGTGTTATAAAGGGCACTGAAAAGGCAATGAGTTTAATTTAGTCTAATTTCATGCAATACCATCTTTTATTTGTACTACAGGTTGTCTAAGATGTTTTGTAAATATGCAAATGAGGTATTGTTTAATTACGTGTGCTAATTTGCATTTTTTTTTTCATCATCTAGCCAAAGGTGTATTAAAGCGGACACTGAAAAAGGTGATGAGGTGATGTTTAAAGATGTGGTGTAAATATGTAAAAGTGGTATTGCTTAATTACATGCGTGCTAATTTGCATATTTTTTCTTTCTTTTTTTACATCTTGTAGCCAAAGGTGTGTTAAAGTGGACACTGAAAAGGTGATGGTCAAATATTAGTCTAAATTAGTTCTATACAATCTGTTTTGTACTACAAGTTTTCTAAGATGTGGTGTAAATATGTAAATGAGGTATTGTTTAATTACATCTGTGTAAATTTGCATATTTTTTCTCTTGTTTTTTTTTTTTTTACATCTTGTAACCAAAGGTGTTAAAGTGGACGCTGAAAAAGATGATGAGGGTCAAATATTAGCCTAATTTAGTGCAATACAATCTTTTCTGTATCACAAGTTTAAATATATCATAAGTGTAAATATGCAAATTAGGTATCGTTTAATTACATGTGCTAAATTGCATTTTTTTGTAGTTTTTTTTAACATATTGATGCCAAAGATGTATTAAAGCGGAGACTGAAATAGGTGATGAGGGTCAAATATTAGCCTAATTTAGTGCTGTATGTTTTTGTACTACAAATTTTCTAACTTGTGGTGTAAATATGCAAATGTGGTATTGTTTAACTAAATGTCTGCTAATTTGCATATTTTTTTAGCACAAAAGTCTGTCTTCTTGTTAAAAAAAGATTTTTTTTTTTTTACATCTTGTAGCCAAAGATGTGTTAAAGCGGACATCTGAAAAAAATAAGGGTCAGATATTAGTCTAATAAAATGAGGCAGTTTAATTAAACTTGTGCTAATTTGCATATATGTCTTAGTACAAAAATCTGTTTCCTTGCAAATAATAAATTTTTTTTTTAAATCAACAGCAAAATTTGAAAAACAGCAAATAATATAAATTAATAAAATATGTTTTGTTTTGCCTCAAGACTTGAAAAACATTATTAAGTATTCAAATATTTTGTTTAAAATTTAAATGAGTTGTTTAATTAAATGTATGCTAATCTGCACACGTTTCTAGCACAAAAATCTGAACAATGGATGAAATTCTTGCCTAATTTTTTAAACCTATTAAGAGTGAAGTTTTGCCCAAGTGCAAATATTTTTAACAATAACAAGTTTTCTAAAATGTTGCTTAAATACGCAAGTTGTGCGTTTATTTAAATAAGCTCATTTGCATACAGCACTACAACATCAAAAAATGAAATAAATAAAAACTAAATAAATAAAAAAATTAATAAAAGTCAAAAGATTTTTTACAGATTTTCGCAGTTTGTTTTCATTCTCACTTTTAAAAAAAATTTAAGCTACTCAATATCTCAAATGTGCAGGTGCTTGAAAAAGCGGTTTCCTCCACAATGTTTTTTCAGTCCCGTCTTCAATACCAACACAGCTGAATAAGTGTAAATGAAACTCCAGACGTTGCTCACCAGTAATCAGGATTCTCCATCTTGTCCAGAAACTCGTCCAGCTCATCTTTGTTTCTGATCGGTTTAAAGATCTTCTTTCCGTCCAGGTCGTATCCGATGTGAGGATAATCCTTGTACCACTCCATCGGGATGTTCCCAACCGTGTTACGAATGTCCTGAGAAAAGGACAGAGAGAACGAAACTCATTGAGTTACCAGATCAACACCACAGGAATATTTTTCATTGCTGTGACGCCGGTGGAATAGTCATTTCTACATCTGTTTCTACTATTTTCTAGAGGAATATACAGACAATAGATGAACGTCCACAATAACTACACACTTCTTTGAATTTAATTGATTTGATAGGTAAGGGTTTGTGTAAAATAAAGGTTTGTATAAAAGTCAACAACATTTTTTCTCTTCAATTATCAAATAAACATGCTGACGATTTACATTAATACTGATTGCTCAAAATATCATTTGATTTAATTTGCGGTCATGGAAAAATCAGGGTTATTCCACCAAATATGTCTCTCTTAACTCTTCAGAAGTTAAAAGATTGTCGATTTGATAGGTAAAGATTGACGTAAAATGTTTGTTTTATTGTATAAAAATGTCTAAACTAATTTTCCCCCCCTGCAAATTTCAAATAAACACACTGACATTTACATACCTTTCCCTCCAAAATGACAGTTGCTCAAAACATCAGTTGATTTCATTTGTTGTCATGAGAAAGCCGGTGTTATTCCACCAAATCTGTCTTTCTGAACTCTTCAGAAGTTAAATATTGTCGATTTGGTAGGTAAAAGTTGGGGTAAAATGTGGTTTATTATATGAAAAGGTCAAAACAGCATTTTTCCCCTCCAGATTTCAAATAAACACAGACATTTACATATTTTTTCTCTCTAAAATTATAGTTGCTCAAAACATGAATTGACTTCATTTGCTGTCATTGAACAAGTTACTCTAGCAAATATGTCTCTTAACTCATCAGAAGTTAAAATGTTTGTTTTATTGTATACAAGTCAAACTGATTTTTTTCCCTCCAATTTTCAAATAAACTGTCATTTACATATTTTTCCCTCCAAAATGATGATTGCTCAAAATATCAATTGATTTCATTTGCCATGTAAAAAAATCAGGTTTATACAACAAAATGTCTCTTAACTATTAAGAAGTTAAAAGAATTTGGATTTGGTACAGTAGGTAAGGGTTGAGGTAAATGTGTTTTAAAGTATAAAAAACCAAAATAGCCTTTTTTTTCTCCAAACTTCAAATAAACATACTGACATTTACACATTTTTTCCCTCCAAAATGATAATTTGCTCAAAACATTACTTGATTTAACATGCTGCCATGGGACAATTAGGCTTATTCCACCAAAAATGTCTGTCTTAACTCTTCTGAAGTTAAAATATTGTCGATTTGATAGGTAAGGGTTGTGGTAAAATGTGGATTATTGTATAAAAAGGTCAAAACAGCATTGTTTCCCTGCCAAAATTCCAATAAACACACTGACGTTTACATATTTTTTTTCCCTCCAAAATGATTATTGCTAAAAATATCGATTGATTTTGTTTGCTGTCATGGGAAAAAAATCAGGTTTATTCCACCAAATTTGACTTTAACTCTTGATTTGACAGGTAAAATTGGGGTAAAATGTTTGTTTTATTGTATAAAAAGGTCAAAACAGCCTTTTTTCTCTCAAAATTTCAAATAAACACACTGACGTTTACATACTTTTCCCTCTAAAATGATGATTGCTCAAAATATTTGATTTTACTTGCTGTCATTGAACAAGTTACTCTAGCAAATATGTCTCTTGACTCTTTAGAAGTTAAAATGTTAAATGTAAAATGTAAATGTTAAAATGTAAAATTGTATAAGTCTAACAGATTTTTCCCTCCAATTTTCAAATAAACGGTCATTTACATATTTTTCCCTCCAAAATGATGAGTGCTCAAAATATCAATTGATTTCATTTGCTGTCATGGAAAAAAAAAAAAAAAGAAATCACGGTTATTCAACCATATATGTCTTTAACTCTTGACTTGACAGGTAAAATTGGGGTAAAATGTTTGTTTTATTGTATAAAAAGGTCAAAACAGCCTTTATTCTCTCAAATTTTCAAATAAATGATATTTGAAATGATAATTGCTCAAAATATCAACTGATTTCATATGCTGCCATGGGGAAAATCAGGGTTATTCCACCAAATATGTCTGTCTTAACTCTTGGGAAGTTAAACAATTGTCGATTTGATAGGTAAGATTTTTTTTTTTATTGTATAAAAGTCAACAGCATTTCCCCCCCTCCAATTTCCAAATAAACATACTGACATTTACATATTTTTACCTACAAAATTATGGTTGCTGAAAACATCAGCTATTTAACCAAATATGTCTTTCTTAACTCTTCGGAAGTTAAAACCCTTGATCAGGTTGATTTGATAGGAAAGGGTTTGGGTAAACAGTGTTTTATTGTATAAAAAGGTCAAAACAGCATTTATCCCCTTCCAATTTTCAAGTAAACACTCTCATTTACATAATGAGAAATGATGATAGCTTAAAACATCAATTGATTTCATTTGCTGTCTTTAAAAATCAGGGTTATTCCACCAAATATGTCTGCTTTTCCTCTTCTGAAGTTAAAGCATGGTCTAACATTGAATAAAAACATGGAACTTTTTCGTTGTTTTGACCAATTTGACCATCATATAACTATAAAACAAAAATACAGCGATACTGGGAATTTCCAAGTGGTTTCTTAATTATTTTGTTGTATGCAATGCTGTATTTTCCCACCACTTGTGACTGGTTTTGCTGGTGATTGTGTGTAAAGGCTCAGTAGAGCAGGTGCAGTAAACCAGACGCCCACTGTTAACTGCTCCACCAACCCGCCCACTTTACAGTACGCCACAAGAACATTACACAGCAAGCATTGCTAATAAACCAAAGAGCTTTGGTCTGAAAATAGAGATTTCTTTGTCTGGGAAAGACACACACACACACAGCTAACAGCAGACAGCTGAAAGTTGTCAGAGGTTGCGAGCGCCACTTTAAAGCGAGGTCTACACCTGTGAGTGATTTCAATAAAAACACCCCTACCATATCCAATTAGGTCCGAGTGGGCAGTGCTGTCACGCTTTCTCACACACACACACACACAAACAAACACACACACACACACACACACACACACACACACACACACACACACACACACACACACACATGTTCCTACATCCTGGTGTAGATGTAATGATGTTTCTACAATACAAAGTGTATATATTTAATCCCCCAACCCCAACTTTAAACCCAACCCTTACAGGAAACCCATTACATTTTCAAAACTGTGTGATGTATAAGCACGTTTACCCAAGGGGAGCTCAATTTTGATTCCCACAATGACAAGTCCCCAAGAGTCTGTTTGCTTTCAGGTTCGAGTCCCCACAGGGATATAAAAACAAGCAACACACACACTTTCTCTCTTTTAAACAAATGTACACAGCCAACAGCAGCTGCCGAGGCCACGCCCACACACTCATCTTCAAAGACTTGCGTCTGATTGGCTGAAGCCGAGCACATCTCAGACATTCTGATTGTAATGTAATATAAAGTCTTGCAGACACATGTACAGTGATCTGGATGTCTGGCCGGCTGAAGTGCTTGTGTTGTCTGGTGCCCCTGGCATCTTTGCCAACTCTATGGAACCGGTGCCAAACAGAGTAAGACCTGCTAATCTGATACTTCCTGTGTGGAGGAGTCACGGATTGTCACTGGACCTTCACACGGTTTTCAGAGAGCATAAAATGAGGGCCCGTAAAGGTCTGCCATTGAGACTTACTAAGGTTTTTGTTAAACAGGGTGAAATTAACTTTTCATCACTACTCTGTGTGTGTTTGATCTGCACATTTGGACAGTTTGCATCCATTCACGTCACAATGAATAACAAGTAATTAGTAAACTGTAATTGTTTAAATATTTATTATTACGAACTTCGAAACAGCATGGCGCAAAACAATGTATAGTACATTTTCAATTGAATTTAAGTATAGATTTAAACAACTATAATAAAAATAAATAAATAATAAAATAAATATAAATTAATACAGTGTTTCTCAACTGGTGGATCACAACCCAAAAGTGGGTCACGGGAAAATTTCAGTGGGTCGTGGAGTGAGTGATCAAAAAAACAACTAAAGTTTAATTTTTAAAAAATGTTTAAGTTTTATTTTGCTAATACCGGAGTTTTATTTTAAAATGCGCCCACGACAACCGAACCGTTTGATGTGAAATCTCATTTAATTATAGCAACAAATGTCGAAGCACAAGTACGACCCCGAATATGTAAACTATGCATTTACATATATTGACGACAAAAAAGGCTTAAAACCTCAGTGTGTCATTTGTAGTCAGGTGATCTCACAAGAGAACATGAAACCTTCTAAATTAAAACGACATTTAGAAACCAAACATCCCAGTTGCAAGGACAAACCTGTGGACTATTTTTAGAGACGACGCCAATAGCTGAGGGTATCACAAAAGTGCATACATTTTGTTAAATGACAGTAATAAAATGATGGTGATTTTCTTATGATTGATCTGTCACTACTTATGTGTATCTTTACAAATAAATACAAAGTAATTATAATTCCTAAAATTATATTTTAGTTCCTAAACATTTGGGTTGCAGCTTGATGACCATGTAAAACTGTGGGAAAAAAAATTAAATTGCAATAATAGTACGAGCAATAAATGTGTGCTAAGCATTTTTGTGCTGCATGCATAGGCTGTTAATTAAATCTGACCAATCAGATGAGGCCTTTACTTTCTTCATCCCCACCTCTCCACTGGCTAACAGCCAATAAGAATCAGAATTTCCACTGAGGTTTTCAGTCATTCGTGATGTTTTAAATTCTAAATATTTGCACCTTAACATTGTTTATATATATATATATATATATATATATAAGAAAAAAATATCTATTACCTGTTTAAGTATGACTATTAATTTGTTTTTGTTTTTTAAATGGCTGATAAAATAGTGTTTCATAAGAAATATCATTATCACAACACTCAACAATGCAACATCTCACATTTTCCAAGTATCGTGCAGCCTTAAAATAAAACTGCATGTGTATCAGTGTATTAGATCAGTGTATTAGAATCAGC